ACTGTTTATATACACTTTACATTAACCACTTGACCTCCAGAGGATTTACCCCCCTTCCTGACCAGGCCATTGTTTGTGTTACAGCTCTACGTTACTTTAACTGACAATTGCACAGTCATGCAACACCGCACCCAGATGAAATTTATGTCCTTTTTTTTCCCACGAATTGAGCTTTCTTTCAGTGGTATTTGATCGCATGTGCATTTTTTATTTTTTGCGCTATAAGCAAAAAAAGACCCACAATTTTGAGAAAAAAAAATATTTTGGACTTTTTATTAAACAAATCCAGTAAAAAAATTAAAAAATAAACTTTTGTCATAAATGTAGGCTAAAATGTATTCTGCAACATGTGTTTGTTAAAAAAAATCTCAATATGTGTAAATTAATTTGTTAATGTGAAAGTTATAGCGTTTACAAATGGCAGTATAGATACTGTGATTTTTTTTTTTTCATACTACAAATGGCGGCGATCAGTGACTTTTAGCAGGACAGCGGGACTGTGGGACTGCGGTGGGCATTCTAACACTGGTTGGGGAGGAACTAACTTGGTATAACTGACATCCCCAGTGACACCAATACAGTGATCAGTGCTAAAAAAACCAGCACTGACACAATCAAAGGGTTAACTGTGTGTAGGGAGTGTTTCACTAGGGGGCGGGTGGTGTGTTCTTCACTGTAAGCACACTGATCGGAATGGCTGTGCTGTGCACAGCCATCCAAAGCAGTGTGCCCGAGCTGACAGGGAAGAAGACTTTTTGTAAACAAAACAGTGTTCCTCCCCGTCAGTGATAGTCGGTAATCACCAGGCACCCACGAATGTCGGTGTGGGTAGGGGGCGCACGTGAACTGCAAAATCGCAATATCCATGTCCATATCCATGTGAAAGAGGCCCCACTACACTTTTTTAATAAACAAACAATCCCCTCTGGGTGATCATTGTATGTTGCAAGGATTTTAACTTTGTTGCAGATTTCTACCAGTTTCTGCTCTGAAGATAAAGTTGTTTGTTGTCTGCAGAGTGAATCTGAATAAGAGTGACTTTTTCATTATTAATCAGCTGATGCACTTGCAGTGCAGGGTCTGCATCACTTAAGCAATGACTAACCCGTTGGGCGTATCTCACCAAAAATTAAATTTTTGTTGCACGGGATGCCTAAAATCTGGCTTGTATCCTAGTGCAGACTTCTAGGAAAATCAGTGAGCCAACCACACAAATACAAAATGACATTTCTGGGGATGTTTCATATACTATTGGTGTACAGAACACTTTCAGGTGGCTATATTGTATTGAATTGTACAGGAAAATACAGTATATCAGATTAGAAGGAAAGATAATTTTTATTAACATTCAATTACAATATGGCTTGTGTAGCAATTGTAAATGCTACACTATTTTTTTTTCTCATTTTCTATTGTCCTTCCCACAAAATTGGAGTTTCCCTTTAACCCCTAATGTTGGTGTCTCCTGGCCCTTAAGGGTTTCTGATGCCAGGAGGGGGGAGGGATTTATGATCATGTGACCGTTGTGATTGGCTGCGGTCACATGATTAGAAAGCTCCCGATCGGGAGCTTTTTGTTAGCTAGTAACCGTGCCGGGAACGTGCAGGTCGCGCGCTCTCGGTACAGGTGTGTTTACATCTGGTACGCATATATGCAGCCTCTTGGCATTAAGGTCCACCCGCCGAGAGTCCACATATGTATGTACGGCCAGCACCAAGGAGTTAAAGAAAGCAAGTCAAGAACTTGGAAAATTCAAGCTAAATAAATGTTTAAGCAAGGTCTCAACTTTCCCTGTAGAAATGAACCGTGTCCTTTGCTTCTCTTGTACTTACCTATTAGTCACTGAGACTACCCAGCACATTAAGACTAGGTTCACACTAATGCGGTGCGGTATAACGCATGTGATTCGCACAGGAACCGCAACATATTTCTGTGCAAATGACATGAGAATTGTGTGCAGTGCAATTGGAGCCATACATTTTGCACTGCATCCGCACCAAAAAGGTGCAGGACCCTTTTTTTGGTCTGCATTAGAACCGATTCTGCACATCTCACCGTGTTTTGCAGACCAATTTCGAGGTGTTGTTAACTTATCACCCACAGCAGTTCAAGCCATACATTTTGTACACATTTTGTATGGCTCAAATCGCACCGTATTTGCACCAAAAAGGTGCAGGACCAGTGTTTTTGGTCCGCACTAGAATCGGATCGCATGGGTATTCACACCCATGCAAAGCGATTCTGCACATCGCACCGCGTTTTCTGGACCGATTTCGGGGTGTTGTTAACTTAACATAAACACCCCGCAGTGGGTCGCATGAACGGGGTGCGATTGTGATGCGGTGCGGAATTCGCACAGAAAATGCAGCGAATTCCACACTGCATCAGTGTGAACCAGGGCTAACAGATCATTAGGGGAAATAGAAGAGGGAGATACATCACTGATTGTTTTGACGTGCAAAGTTTGTGTGTAATTTCAGTCTACTTTTCTCCTTCAAGATAATAAATTTTAGAGAATAAATTAATGTATACACAAAGATCTGTCACTTTTACTGCTAAAGCATACATGGTTAAACATTATTGCAATGTGTACAATGCCAATAAAAAAAGGCCAAATCCCAATGATGTCACCAGCTTCAGTAGATTTATTAAGCCATACAATCTGTGATACAAGTCCCCACCTGGATACTACCATTAACTGACGCGTTTCACCTTTATGATTTTAATCAGAATCAAATGACATGTGGTCATATATAACGGATTTGGTATACAGTATGTCATATATGAAAGTGTCTCAAAGAAACAATTTGTAATGCTCAATCCAATGCTTTGATTCTTGAGGCTTAGTCTCTACTAGTCACTACTTTAATAAGACCACATCTTCAGCCTAGAAGTGTCATAATTGTAAAATACTATTTAAAAGTTCATATGTTTATTTTTCTAAAGCTCATGGTGACATACAGATTGTTTAATAAAAAGTTGAATGTATAAATGTAAAATGTGTGTAAAATGCTGCTTTTATTATTATTATTATTATTATTACTACGAGTTTATATAGCGCCAAAGGGTTTGCTCAGCGCTGTACAATAGGGGGGACAATACATGGCACAGTACAACAACAACAAACAACGTACGAGGGGTAAGAGGGCCCTACTCTTACGAGCTTACAATCTAGGAGGGAGGGGGTAAAAGGTACAGTAGGAAGTGGCTGAGGGGGATGAAGTGGTGGGAGGAATGAGGGAGGATGGCCGTTAGGTGAGGGTGGGGTAGGCTTCCCTGAAGAGATGGGTTTTGAGGGAGCGCCTGAATGTGAATAGGGAAGGCGACAGTCTGATGGATTGGGGCAGTGAGTTCCAGAGGATGGGGGAGGACCTGGAGAAGTCCTGCAGTCGTGCATGGGAGGAGGAGACCAGGGAGCAGGATAGAAGGAGGTCCTGTGAGGAGCGAAGGGTACGGGTAGGGTGGTACTTGGTGATAAGGTTGGTGAGGTAGTCAGGGGCAGTGTTGTGAACGGCTTTGTAGGTCAGGGTTAGGAGTTTAAATTTGATGCGTTGGGCAATCGGGAGCCAGTGGAGGGAGAGGCAGAGGGGGGTGGCAGAGGTGGAGCGGGTGGTGAGGTGGATGAGTCTGGCAGCTGAGTTCAGGATGGTCTGGAGCGGGGAGAGCCTGCACTTGGGTAGGCCAGTGAGGAGAGAGTTGCAGTAGTCAAGGCGTGAGATGATGAGGGAGTGTACTAGAAGTTTGGTGGTGTCTGGGGTGAGGAAGGAGCGTATCTTGGCAATGTTGCGAACATGGAGCCTGCATGTGTTTGTGAGTGATTTGACATGCGGTTGGAGGGAGAGGTTCGCGTCAAGAATGACGCCAAGGACTTTGGCTTGCGGGGCGGAAGTGATAGTGGAGTTGTTGGTGATGATGGATAGGATGGGGGGGGGGGTGTTGGCAGGGGGAAAGACGAGAAGCTCGGTTTTGGAGAGGTTGAGCTTGAGGAAGTGTAGCGACATCCAGTCTGAGATGTCATTTAGGAGGTGAGTGATGCGGGCGGAGATAGTGGGGGTGAGGTGAGGGGTGGAGAGGTAGATTTGGGTGTCGTCAGCATAGAGGTGATAGTTGAAGCCGTGAGATTGTATGAGTTTGCCCAGGGAGGAGGTGTAGATGGAGAAGAGAAGGGGTCCAAGGACAGAGCCTTGATTATTTGCCATCACAATGTTTTACTGTAATCTACTTTAAGTGATTCAGACCATTTTATGAAGCATGCTAGATGACATTATTACAAATGTTGGGAATACCACTGTACATGATTAATAAAATAGGTTTTACAATGAAAATGATCAATCTATGTGTTGGAATGTGTCAATGTTTTGTCTGAAAGCAGTATTACCCCCAAACAAACGTGTTATATTGCAGCTTACCAATTTTTAGATGCATTGGCTGCATTAGTTTTCTGTGTTGGACTTTTGTCCTTTATTTTCACCTGGTGAACCTGGTAGTAAGTCTTTTCTTTTTCAACTCACTTTAGGAATAGGTTCACACCTATGCAGGTTGCATTTGAGCAGTTCTTCATTGCGTTATGCGTTGCATTTTGCGTTTTTGACCCTTTTTATTTTTTTTTTCTTGTTGCTAGGCAGATTTTAAAAAGCAAAACGCATCAAAAGCACATAAAAAATGCAGCAAAAACCATAATTCCATTGTTGCCCAATCATTGATGCTTTGGTCCCGATATAAACTTAAATTAAATCTGGTCTCCTGTGTCTCTCCAGGTGCATCATTTTTTGGTGACCCGAATTTTATTCTGGCATTTTCCTCTCCACAGGCGTTCCGTTGGTGGTACGATAGATCCTTTATCAGGTTATCTGACTTTCAAAGAGGAAGATCTTATATCAGCTTTGAGATGCTACATATACTTTTTGATATCCCGATTCGAGAATATTATCGTTATCGACAGATTAGACATTTTTTCAATTTACATTTTGGCCTTATACCTTCGAATGCATTAGCCGTGACCAGGGGCAGACTGACAACTCATGGGGCCCCCGGGCAATAGGGGATCATGGGGCCCTGTGTCCTTTCCCAAACTCAAAAAACCTATGAAAAGGGTACCAGGGGCATCTCATGGGGCCCCCTACTGACCCAGGGCCCTCGGGCAGTGCCCGAGTTTCCAAATGGTCAGTCCGCCCCTGGCCGTGACTCTCCCAGGGGCAGGGGTCTTATTTCTGATTTGTATCACCAATTTCTGGTTAGTTCCTTTCCCACACCCACTCTATATAGATAAAAATGGGAAGCTGATAGTGGTATCACCTTTTCGGACGAAGATTGGGATTCCATGGTGGATAACATATGTAAGAGCTCTAGATCTCTCCCTGTGCATGAGACAGCTCTCAAGGTGTTAACCAGATGGTATTTTATCCCATCTAGACTACATGCCCTGTATCCAGGGACGTCCCACCCATGATTCCGGGGCTGTGGCCTTGCCGGTACTCTGGTGCATACATTCTGGGCTTGCCCAGTCCTCTCCTTGGTGTGGCGCAGGATCTCTGAGGTAGCTTCTGCACTGGTGGGTGCCCTGGTGCATCTGACTATGCATTCCTGCCTATTGGGAGCTCGTATCCCGGGGGTACAGACTGAGGTTATGAGGCTAATCCATACTATTTGTATATCCACCCTATGGGCTACTGCCCTACACTGGAAATCTATCACAGTACCATTGGCCTCTGTTCTGCATAGAGTTGATGCTGTGATGCTCATGGAAAGAATTCATTATACTTTACTGGACAAGATGCACTTATTTGATAGAAAATGGGAAATTTGGAGAACTCATAGACATTTACTACATGACTAAGGAACACCCATATTTGGATGGATTGACTTACTCTGTTGGTAGATGTATAAATCTGCCTACCTCTTTATTTACATTGCTCATGTACTTAAACTCTTTTCTCTCTTCTCTTCTCTTTACTTTTTCTTTACTCTACATGATTGTTCCTTTTTGAAATGTACACTTCAGTTGTGCCTTGTTACTGTTTTACACACTGTTTGAAGCTGTAATATTATTTTAGTCTATTTCTTGAAAAATAAAATAGTTTGTAAACAAAAAAAGCGGCAAAAATGCATAAAAAAGCAGCAAAAACTCACTCCATGCTTTTTTTGCAGCATTTCTATTGAAGTCTATAGAACCAACAATGCTACTTTTTGCGTTCAAAAAGGTCCCTGACCCTTTCCAAAAAACACACCGGGTGAAAACGCAGATGTGAACATGCCCCATGGGAAATCGTGTTAAATGGACTGTACTGCGTTTCTGCAAAATGTACAATGCTGCAGAAAACGTGAACCTAGGGTAACAGACCAAGCTGCCCAGACAAAGTAGCAGTTATAGGGTTGAGACAAACCATTTAACACTGACAGAGGTGCTGACAGTGATCAGCTTTTATTTATTATGTAAAATCTTTATCCCATTCCCAAAAGAAATAAAAAAAAAAAAGAAAATTGTTACTACATCTACAGGGAAGCCACCCTAAGGCTGGCTGTGTGTTTCTGGCCGGATCACCAGGTGAAAATAAAGGGAAAAAGCTTAAAAAATGAAAACGAACACAGTCACTACATCTATTGATTGATAAGCTGCAATATACTGTATTACATTATAGTTTTTGGGTTTTAAAGCGCTTTATTAGATTCACTGCAGTCGGCAATTAGATCTCCAGTATTGGCTGGTATCAGGCACTGGTGGTGACATCATTCCCTCTGTCATGTGGCAGTGCTCAGTGCTAGTGATTGACTGCTAGATGAGGGTACATGGTAGTAGGTCACATGTTCCCATACATAGGGCATTGTCACCATCTGAGAACGAGGCAGGAGAGGTGGGGAAACGATGGCAAGTTGCACTTTTAGCCCTGGTTTACACCGCCACGATTTCAAGTGCGATTTGGGAATTGAAATCGTACTTGAAATTGGATCTAATGAATGTGAATGTGAGTGTCTTAACATACACAATTTGCTGCAGTGCGATTTCAAAAGTAGTTTTTGTATTATTTTTTCTGCAGTTTGTTGTGATTTCACATATAGACTACAATAGAAATCGCACTGCAACACACAATGGAAAATGCAAGAAATTGTTGGGAAATCTCAAACAATTCTTCAAAAATCGCGGTGAAATTGCAAACAAAATGCATGATTTTAAATCGCATCCAGTGTGAACCAAGCCTCAAGCTACTTCAGACTTGTCAGATTTTACTGTGTGACTCACTTAAGTTAATATTAAATCCTCATTTCCAGCAGCTGATTTAATCACATACTATGTAGCTTCTTTATTTTCTAATTCTTACCTATGTTCCAGTTTAGGCTGGTGCCATTGCTGCTTCACCAAGTTTCTTGTTTCAGGGTGTCTCTTTTCTCTTGGAGTTCCTATGGAGTCACCCTGCATGTGGGGACTAGAGATATGTCTCCCTACGCTGTGTGCATCAATAGAAACACACAGCCCCATATCAGGGTTACCAACCTCCCCCGACCGGTTTTACTGACAACACATGGAAAATCTACTTTTTACTGACATCCTGAAATATCACAGAAACTCCTACTATAAATGAAGAAAATCAATTTGTAAGCAATATAAACAATGTGTAAACATTAACAATCCTCAGAAAAAGTAATCTACTGGCTTTACAATAAACAATTCCAAACAGAGTGACAAAATGTGAGCATGACTAAGGTTATGAAAGACCTGGGGCAGTCTGGGATAAAACAGACAAATAAGTTCTGCTGCATGGGGTGCTCAGTATGCACAGCCAGATTTTGGCTAACAGTGGGAGGGGCTTAAAGTGAAATCATTACAAAGAATATGTGCCTAGTTGCTTATATATATGTATATGTATACTGTGCACACATATAACAGTCCTCAAGGACATTTAACAAACCTCAGGACAAAGGGATCTTTTTTTTTTTCAAAAAATGTTTCTATTACATATGTTTTTATCCACACAAAAGGGATATAATTCTGTCTGACTGAGCCTACCTTAAAGCAAAATTACATTTCAAACCAGCATCTGTTGGGACAATGAACACTTTGGTCAGGACTGTAATCAACAACATTATGTATAGAGTGCAGGGGTCAAGAATAAGTAACAAACAAAACAACATACATTATAGAGTGCAGCAATCAAGATGAACCAGGGGCAGACTGACCATTTGGAAACTCGGGCACTGCCCGAGGGCCCGGGGTCAGTAGGGGGCCCCATGAGATGCCCCTGGTACCTTTTTCATAGGCTTTTTTGAGTTTGGGCAAGGACACAGGGGCCCCATGATCCCCTATTGCCCAGGGGCCCCATGAGTTGTCAGTCCGCCCCTGAGATGAACCCTTAACATCAGAGTCCCCTCTCATATCAAAGTCCCCAGCATTCCTCTGTACATCAGGGTTCCAAGAGTCCCTCCTTAGATTACAGTCTCCCCTTACATCAAAGTCTCCAGTGTTTCCCCTTACACCAGTGTGCCACCCTTACATCAGAGTTCCTGTTTACATCCTATCCCATGTCGACACTCCACAGACTTCCTCCTTACCGAGTTACAACTTACAGGGCAAGGAGGAACTCTTGGGACCCTGATGTAAAGGGGAACCCTTCAGACTCTGATGTAAGGGGGAACTCTGTTGACCCTGATGTAAAAGGGAACACTGTAGACCATGATGTAGAGGGGAATTCTGACATAAGGGGGCCTCTGGTCATCAAAGCCCCCCTTACACAAGAGTCCCCATAGCTTACATCAGAGTCCACAGAGTTCCCCCTTAAATCAAAGTCCGCAGTGTCTCTACCTTACAGTGCAAGGGAAAACTCTGATGTAAAGGGTAGCGCTGCAGACCATGATGTAAGGGGGAATTCTGTGGACTCTAGTGTAAAGGGAAACGTCTGATGTAAAGTGGTCTCTGGTCACCAGAGTCGCCCCTTATATCAGAGTTCACAGAGTTGCCCTTTGCATCAGAATCCACAGAGTATTCCCTTGCACTGTAAGGTGGAACACTGATTACTCTGATGTAAAGGGGCACTGTGAGGACTCTGAAGGGGGAACTCGGGGAACTCTGATATGGGGGGGGGACTTTGGTGACCAGAGAACACCTTATATCAGAGTCTGCAGTGTGAATACACTAAGGAAAGAGGGTACAGATATTAGAGGGGGAACCTTTATATCAATGTCCCTCAGGGAGGGGCCCCTGGCTTCTGGACTAGCCTGGAGGTGACAGTCTCTCTAGAGTGAGGATTATGTAGCCATACTGTGGCCCCTGCCCTGTGGTCCTGGATTCGCCAGCTCTTTCAGCTCCCCCTAGCCTCAATGAGGCGTACTGCTGCTGCTTTAACTTGTAGCAGGTGGTTTTGGACACCATGGCCAGACGGACACCCTCTGTGGGTGGAACCCCCCACTTGCCAGCTTAATGGGAGAGTTAGGTGGACATATGTCAGTTGGGCCTTGGGGAGAAGAAGCGAATGTGGAGGGGGGTCCCTGTCCCAGCAGACACCAAGCATCACGTGCACAGCAGCAGCAGCTCCCCCAGTGGAAGTGAAGCTGTGCTCATTCTGTGGCTAGTGCCTGCCCAACATTCTTGGTCAGTGTCTTTTGGCAGAGGTTCCAGTACCCCACCAAAAACCCCTGATTTTTACGGACTGAAGATGTCCCTAACAAACATTTATGGACAGTTGTTGGTTTTTACAAACCATCCATAAATGTTTTGGACTGTTTACAACCCTGACCCATAGCCTAGGATGGCAAGACACTCCCCTGCAGATCCCTCCCCCCCCCCCGTCTTCTTCAAGCTTAGAGACAGACAGGAGACTGCAGTGAAGTTAAGGAACGCAGCACTGAGAGACCAAGAAACAGCAGCACTGAAAGTTGTACACTGAATGTGCCAGGGTAAAAATTTTAACAAAGAGTTTATGGGGTAATGTTTATTTTATTGAGCAGCTTGAAGCCATATCCCACAATTTTTGAACCTCACAAAGAAGGATACATTGGAAAGTGAGGCATGAGGTCTGTTTAGTACACCACTGTGAATAGAGGATGTGGTTGGGATTCAAAGTGGTGTGGTCAAAGTTACATCCCTGCAATATTTAATGACACCTAAATAATATGTTCTTTAAATTATATAGAGTATAGTAGTTACCCACTGTAATGGCATGTCAGATACAACAGCATGATTTATAATGAA